GGGGGGGGGGGAGAAGGGAAGGAAAGTGGGTTCTCATCCCTCTTCCCGAGTGGAGTGGGTTCAACTGAATTCAATGGCAGCTTGATGTCCTTCGGAGCCATAACCAACTCCGGTGGCAGCTTGGCGTAGCTGATCACCCAGCTTGTGTATGGGTGAACTGTAAATGAGGGCCCACTCCACTAGCAGCGTTTCAATGTGGAGAAAAAAAGGGATCGACGGGTTGGGGGGAGGGGAGAGGGAAGGTAGGGAGGGGAAGGGTCAAAATACGAAAGCCATGACGAGGAAGAAGATGGGAACCCACTCCAGTAGCAGCTTGATGTAGTTGATCACCCAGCTTGTGTATTGGTGAACTGTACCATCCATGCTTGCAACAGGCTTGTTGTCTTTCTCCACAGCATCTTCAAACTCGTTGAATGTCTCCTTGGCCGCCTGGCCGACTCGTTTCCGCAAGGTGAGAAATGCGTTGGGCACGCCCACACTCATCTCACCTCTAAACATGCCGCAGATCTGTTCACAGCCTCCCACAGGACCCACACCATCATCCATTACAACAGAAGCTGCAATGAGACGGGTTCAAATCCAGCACGGAAACATGCATCCAAAGTCTCGAGTAAGGTTACCGTCTTCACCCGAATATGCTGCACTTGGTGCAACTTCCACTCCAGATACAGGTGAAATAACCAGGCGTTCTGTTCGGGGGAAGACGGTAGGCATGAGAAATAGGACTGTAGGGCCCCAGAGTCCGTCAGTATCGCCCTCGATCCTACAGAAAGTCCTCTGGAATGAAAAGACCCCTACAGAGTCAAAGGATGGGGTAGAACCTGAGGTGCAAAAAAACTATGCAAAAAAACTAAGGGTCATAGCTATTGACCCCTGAAGTTTGGAGGACTACAAAAACTATGCAAAAAAACTAAGGGTCATAGCTATTGACCCCTGAAGTTTGGAGGACTACAGTTCTGCTCCTACAGAACACATCAGTTGCCCACAAGTGGGAGTCATGCAAGGCTTGCATTCAAGCGCTGATCCCCCATTGAGTAGTGACTTGTCTTAGTTTGCGAACCCCACTCCGCCTCCTCCCCCTCTTGCGCCTTCTCGTCCAAAAGCAACACACCCCTTGGCGTAGCAACCCCCTTCGATTCCATTAGCCACCTTCGGTCAGCAGTCCTCTCCTCCCCCTCCGCTTTCCCCCGATGTAGCAAGACCCCACTCCACTTGCATCACCCCTTGTGAACAGTGACAGACAATATACACAATCTCCTATCCCTCCATGCCTCCCTTTCCCCCTTCCCTTACTCCTCCTATTCTTACTCCTTAGCTTCTTCCTCCTCTTTATGCACTTAGAGAAACCCTAAGAACCCCCCTTTCATGTGATCAGAATACACCCCCCTTTCCCCCAACATTGCTCAGGAGTATGTCGACTTAAGGGTCCGTCGTGCCACTCATCGCAACCACCAAGCAGTGCAAATGAGGGAAGGTGCAGAACAGCGCGCATGAAACGCCACCCCAAAATCGTTTCTTCACCCTGCACCGCAAACCTAGCCCCCCCCTGGCCCCCACCCCCACCCGAAAAAAAACATTACCATACAGCCAAAATTCTTTACCGTGGGAGACAGTAGTAGAGCTCCCATTTGGAGGCAAAAAAAAAAAAAAAAAAAAAAAAACTTTACTCTGGGAGACAGTAGCACAGCTCCCATTTGTCGGCGGAATAAAAAAAAAAAAAGGCCCACAAGGGGAGACGGCAAGCAGAAAGCGACGCCCATTCATTCCGTTGCCCTGTTCACGTCACGAATTCACCTACCTCCGGAAAGAGCTCTTGAATAGTCTCATACATTTCCAACAACAGGAACAGACTGTCCACGACTCTCTTGCATTTCGTCACCGACTCTCCGAAGGTCAGGAGCATTGGCATAGAAGGCTCTACCACTTCTCTGAGAATTTTTTCTTTCGGCATGTCGACTGCGTGGAAAACTTGCATGCAGAGCCTTTGCTCGGCTACGAAGAGCATCTTCACCTGCAATGTCAGAACACAGCGTAGTAGGATACTCATATGAGCTTCAAGACAGTGAGTGAAAAGGAGAGAGGTTAGGTAGGACACGCATTGCCTGAAGCAGTGAAAGCAGAAACATAATAACATTTGAAAATTGCAACCAAGGAGCCTAGCTCAGTTGGTAGTACTTGGTACACACCCACAAACTTGTTGAAATATGAATCAGACCCAAGTTTGAATCCAGTTACAGTCAGATGACCAGAATAAA